CTGTGAGCCCTTCCATCTTATGCTCAAATAAAACCATATATTCTAAAGGCACCACAGTCTCCATTTGCCTTCAGTTCAAGGAAACCAATTCCTGAGTAAAGTGTAGGCACCCCTGAAGCCTCTCGCTGCTCAGTGATTGGGGCATGCACAACATTACTTACTGGGGACCAAGCAGGTAGAGATGAATTATTGGATGGGTGGAGAATTCCATTTGCAATAGTTTCTACTGTGGAGACCAAAGACCTGTAACAATGTCCTCCTATATGCCAGATTGGGAATCCTTCCCACTCCTCTCAAGTTCTGTATTCCCTTTAGGGGAAAGTGGTCAGGAGCAACATATCCCAAGGTGTGTGAGGTTGCTCACCCACCCACCATCTTCACAATTTTTTTGTAACTCGATTTGGGGGTCCCCCCCCTGCAATCAGAGAGAGAGAGAGAGAGAGAGAGCTCCCTATTCTGTGCTGCTCAAATGATTCCTGATCTGCTGGTGGAGGGGGAGAAGATCACCCAGGGGAATGTTATAATATCATAATGCTGTTATACAAGTCTGTGGTGTGACAGCACTTGAAAGTACTGTGTACAGCTCTAGTCACCTCAGTGCAAAAAAAGGATATTGTACAGCTGCAAAGCTCCCCTCAGAGGAAAGGCTATAAGATTTGGGGCTTTTTTTCGTTTAGAGAAAAGACAAGTAAGAGGGGAAATGATAGAGGTGTAAAAAAAAATTAGGCACTGTGTGGAGAAAGTGGATAGAGAAAAGTTTTCCTCCCTCCCTCATAGCACTAGAACTTGGGGCCGTCCAGTGAAGCAGGAGGTGAGAAGATTCAGGAGGACAGAGAAAAGAAAGTACTTCTTTGCATATCACATGTGGAACTCGCTCCCACAACAGGTAATGGGGGTTGCCGGCTTGGGTGGTTTTAAAAGACAAATTCCTGGAGGATAAGGTTATCCCCGACTGCGTTGTGCCTTCTGAATGCCAGCTGCTGGGGATCACAGGTGGGGGGGGGAAGGCTCTTGTGCTTAGGTACTGCTTGCAGGGTTCCCATAGGCATCTTGTTGGCCCTGGATTTGATGGTCCTTTGGCTGGCTCCTGCAGGACTAAGATTGCCCTCCCTCTCATCTTCCTCTCCCCATTTCAGCTGAACAGGAATCACCTGAGCAGCAGCAGCAGCAGCAGCAGCAGCAAAGAGGGCAGCTGCTGCTTTAGAGGGGCCAGGGGCATCTGGGTGGCCCTTGAGGGTCAGCTGATGGAATAACCTAGGTGTTTCCCTCTAAACACTGAGTTCTGTCTGCTAGATTTTTGGGGGAAACTGAGGGGAAGGCATTGAAACATGGCTGCTGTGCCAAGAGCTTGGGTCAAGACGCCTACACTGCCACTCTGTAGGTGAAGTTCGGAATCCAAGTTAAAAATATGTCTGGAGCCGATTCTATGTCATGCTGCAAATCATAGAACCATAGAATTGTAGAGTTGGGAGGGGTCACAAGGGTCGTCCAATCCACCCCCTGTCTGGTCATGAAATACATTCTCTTTGCTATTCTGTCCTAGCTGGCTGATGGTGCTAAACTTAAATGCCTAGTACAGTGGTACCTCAGTTTACATACGCTTCAGGTTACAGGCTCCGCTAACCCAGAAATAGTGCTTCAGGTTAAGAACTTTGCTTCAGGATGAGAACAGAAATCGTGCTCCAACGGCGCAGTGGCAGCAGGAGGCCCCATTAGCTAAAGTGGTGCTTCAGGTTAAGAACAGTTTCAGATTAAGTACGGACCTCCGGAACGAATTAAGTACTTAACCCGAGGTACCACTGTAGTATAGCTTCTTGAAATACCAGCCTTATTATGACTTGTCTAGAAAATGGATGGGGGGGGGTGCATGGTTGGAGTAAAGCAACCATCCAGGCCATCACTGTTTTTTTCTTTTTAAAAAATGCATATGTAAGGTGCTTCCAAGCCCAGAGGTATCAATACCCCATGAAACGGCTCTGCTTCCCGTGAAAGTGCCCGCAAAGGAGTTATCATTCAGTGGGCTCATTTCCAAGATGCTGCTTTTAAAGACACACAGAGAGAGGTTTTATGCAAATTCTCTTCTGTATACTTTCTCCCACAATATTGCTCCCACTCTTATAATTGCCTCTTCTTAAATATCTCTGCCAGCTTTTCTCGTTAATTAATTAAACCTTTGCTTTTACCAGTTCAGAGATTCACTCCCTTGCAAGCAAATATCAATCTGTACCCTCGGGTGAAGGGCAAAGGCTCTCCTTCTTTATGTTTCTGTCTTCCTGAACATAAAAAAACCGCACATGAATGCTATCAAGTTGAAAGAGCAAGCACAGATGAAATGTGCGGCATGGAAAGGGCACAGTCCTTTCCCAGTTTCTGCTTCTGTGGGTTTTAAAGGAGCATGCAGAATTTTACACATCTGTGTGGCTATTTTGTAAATTGGGTGCAAAAAAGGGGGGGTTCACCTTCAGGTGTGGGACATTGGTGTACTGGCAAATTCAGAAGGGCAGGATCTATTCATGATACTCCACCCACTCCCCCTCACAGCCATGTCCCTGTCACGAACTAGTTGGATGCAGAAGAACGGTAAGAAGAACCATTTGGGGAACCCTCAAGGGGAGAAGGCTCAGAGCCTGGGGAGTGGTAGCTGCACAATGCTGAGTGGTCAGAGGGAGATGAGAGGGAAGACTGGGAAGAGGAGGTGCCAGAAGCTGAAGTGGTAACAGGGCTTAGTGAACAGGGAGAGTCTGCGCCAGAGAGAAGTCCAGAATCAGAGGCAGAAGCTGAAGCAGAAGAGTGGGAGGAGGGAGGCCAAGAGATGAGTCTGGCTGGTGGTCACAAGTGTCTCCCCCTCCTGCTGTGATGAGCTCCCCTGCCCCCTTGTCTCCCAGAACCAGAAGAGGCATGAAGAGGGCAGAAGAGAGGTTAGTGGCTTGCAGGTGGAGTCTCCAGTTGCTTGAGGAAAGCCGTGGTAAGGAGGCAGGGACTTTCGGTGTTGGCAACTGATTTACACGTAGGAAGACCACTGGGAATGAGCTACTCTGCTCATTAGGCCTGACACTTAACCAAGACTGTGGAGTTCATGTTTTTTGCTAGTAAAGAGTTAACTCCATCTTTGACCTGTGTGATTATTGGCAGGCATGCTCCTGTGACAATCCCCTTCTAAGATATACAACCGTCTAAGATTATGCAGTATAATAATAATAATAATAATAATAATAATAATAATAATAATAATAGATGCATTGCAATGATCAGTGCAGATCTCCATGTGTTGCCTTTCAGCTAGATCTATTTTCTGTGCATGTACATGGGGAAATGATTTTGAGTGCTCTAATATCTTCTTTCAGAGTGGTAAGCGAAGTTGTGTTTTCCTTGAAGCTCCTTTGTACATAACATAACTTGCACACCATTCTCTTGAAACTGAGAGAAACTTATATTTTCAGTGTACCTAAATGCTCAGCTTTGGAGCACAGAGAACAACTCCTCAGTGGTCTTTCTGTGCACCTTCTCCAGAGTGACCCTGGAAGCCCATCCTTAGTGACTGACTCACCTCCTTCCACCTTGATTGGCTCCCGTCAGCATATAGGGTGAGAAGACCTCTTCTCAGTGGCTGAAAAAGCTCCCTTTTCATGCTGATTGAGTGGTTCTAGGACACTGGAGAGAGGGCACATCCTGGCAAGCCTCATCCCTGGCTCCCTGTCCTTCCCTCCCTGCCAGCTGCTGGTGGTCTCTGGGCCCTGGAGCAGGTGGCACAGCATGGCCCTGCTTGGCTTCAGTGGGGTGGGGGGTGCTTCAGCAGCAGCATTGGCAACCCACTCTACACTGGTGTGTGTGTGTGTGTGTGTGTGTGTGTGTGTAGACACAGCTCATGCTCTTGTCTCGACAACCCCCTCCCTTGTGTGATTACAGTATGTGGTATCAGAAATCCCAAAGATTTCTGGGGGGGCATGCTGGAAGAGCCTTACCATGTAAGATTCCAGGCACATGTTAAAGGTTTTCTTTGCAAACAAGTGTTCTACATCTTCCTTTCTTTCTGGAATGTGTACTTTAAACTCAGTATTTACACATTCGCCTTTGGGTGGATAGATCTTTGTGCTGTAGCATTCTGTCATGTTAATTCATACATTGTTAATGAGGTTGGATGATTTATTCATACTTTATTTTCTTATTAGACACCACCTTGAACAAACTATTGGAAAAGGCAGCCTTAAAAGTACCTTCCTGAAATCAGTAAAATGTGCAAACTGGTCCCTTAAGGTGGCATGATGACATCCAAATTAAAGAGTACAATGAATGGGCAGGCTCAAAGGCCAGAATATTTGTTTTAGAAAATAATTCATTATTAGTGTTATTATTTGGTGTTTAAGAAGTGTTAGGGGAAGTGTAGTTCCTCTGGTGGAGGACATGTGGTCTCCTTCTGGGGTGGTTTGCCCACTTTTGGTCCCCAGCTCTCACCTGGGACTCCTAGAAGCTGTCAGCATGTGACAGCGGTCACACCCTTAGAATGGCTTCCACTGGTCAGCTAAACCAGGTGAGGGGAGCCAGTGGGTCTCAACCCATGGCCTGAGTTATGGACTTCCCCTGCATGCAAAGACAGGCTCTGACAGATTGAGCTGTCAAGACTAATAGTGGGTCCTGCAGTTTCTGCATGTGCTGCAGAGGGAAGTGAGCTAAAGCCCCTCTCCCTTTGGGCACAACACCATCTTTGAAAAGTGAACATTTCATTTACCTGGCTTGGTTAAGAAGCAAAATAGAAAAGTGGTGACTGCAACTGGCAATGGGGCTAAGTATTTATTTTGTGGCTTTCATGTGGCTTTTTTGCCAGCTAATGGGGAGAGAATTTATGGTGGTTCTGAAATGTGTGGGGCATGCATGAGAATCCAGTCAAAAAATGAACAGGGGGGAGCATGGAGGGTAAATCTCTCCCTTTCTTTCCCCAAACTTTGTTTCATACAAAGAGTTTTCTGAACTTACTGAGGGGTCTTCCTCTTTCCTTCCTGCAGGTGGAACTTTCATCTCATCCTGGAGCCAGGTGCTAGTGCCTAGGTTTGCCTTTTTGGCAGGCACCTCTGCATTCAACAGACTGGGGTGCGAGTGACCTTCGTGGGACCTAGATCAAGGCAAGGTAAGCCTCAAGCCCAAATGTTTGAAGCAGGCCCAATTGGGATCTAGATGAACCAAGGGTCTTGGCATGCTTACCAGGGTGAAAGCCATGGGACTGCATACTACTTTAAGTAGGACATCCAGATTTACAGGAGCCATATTGGCTTCTGATTAGCTCCTGGGATGTCTTGTTTGGCTTGCATGAGAGCATGGACTCCAAAGATGCCCATTTTAGGGGATCATGCTCTCGCATGAGTCACTTGGCTCCCATGAGAGCATGGCCCCTAAAGATACATATTGGGGGGGGGGCTACGCTCTTCTTGCATGAGTCCCATGACCCCACAAGACACACGTCCTGATTTCACTTGGTGGCGTGTTAGAGGGTATGGGAGTGGGTGTCTCTCCCACCCAATAGCCCTCCTAGATCCTTCTGTTTGGAAATCCTTCCAAGACCAACTCTAAGGGCCAGATATTTCCTCTCCTTCACATCCTTCCTCAAATCCCACATCCTTCCATGGATTTTAGCTTCATCCCTTAGTTGAGCCCTCACCAACCAGGTGCCTTCTGGGGGTTTGGACTACAGCTCCCTTCTGCCATAGCCAGCACTGAGATCCTGTGTGATGCGGTGGTTATAGTGTTGAACTAGGACCTGGGAAACCAGGGTTCAAATCCCCACTTAGCCACAAAGCTCACTCTCTTCAGCCCAGTCTGCCTTGCAGGGCTGTTGGGCAAATAAAACGGGGAGGGAGGAGTACCACGAACACCATCTTAAGCTCCTTGGAGGAAAAGTGGAATAGAAATGGACAAATAAAAAAGTATACAATGTCTAGAAGGCACCAGGCTGGCGAAGGCTCCCTTAGTCCTAATCTACAACTGGAAAAGAAAAATGATTTGTGTTCTTTTAAATACATGAAACTGCATCGACTTTCATTAATTCATCTCTTCTTACCCTTGGTTCTCCCTTCTCTCCCTTTTTGATTGTAGATGCACACAAACATGTTCTAAATTTAGGTTGTACATTCATCGGGGCAGCAACCTGCTTCTTTCTTATGCTACTCTGTGACATAAATACCAATATATATGATAATCATAGAAATAATAACATCAGAAGGCCTTTTTTTCCTACGTAGCTTTTCCTTCTACTAGGCTTGCCTCTTTGCACTCGGCTGGCTTCTATTGTGGCTGGATGTTCTGCTGCAGAGAATCAAAGGTATTTGCAAAAGACTGTAAAATAGTTTCTGTGTCGCCAAACTGTCAGGGGCTGTTATTGTATTAAGAGCAGCCTTCCCCAACCTGGTGCTCACCAGGTGCTTTGGACTGCAGTTCCCACCAGCTCTAGTCAGCACAACCGCTAGTGAGGGTGGTGGAAGCTGTAATCCAAAAACTGTTTATTTATTATAACTTATTGCATTTATATTGCACCTTTCCCACAAGGAGCTCAAGGTCGCATGAAACTTCTTCTTGTCTACATTTTATCCCCAAGGTCACCCAGTGAGCTTTGTGGGCTGAGTGAGGACTTGGAACCCGGGTCTTCTAGGTTCTGGTCCAGCACTCTAATGATGATACCACACTTGCAGGCTCCAGGTTGGTGAAGGCTGGAGGAGCCCATCTTGGCAAGATGGACCCAGTAGCCTGACTCCGTTGAAGGCAGCTTTGTATGAGCTCACATTTTCCTAATATTAACAGTGGAGGTTTGGAGGGGTTGCTTGTGCTAAAGTAGCCATGTTTCATCAAGTGGGGCAGTGATCTGGCAGAGTTGCCTGTTGACAGTCTTAAAACTTTGTCATAAAGGCGCCACTCAACCTCTCTGGCACCTTTGATCTTCAGCTCCAAATGATCCTTCCAGAACGGCCCCTCTTCACAGCTTTATTGCAACAGAGACTTCAGCAAATGAGACCGTGCCCATTCGCGTTTCTTCTTCAGAAGTCAAATGAGAGTCATGTTCGAGTGATTTTCTTAAACTATACTAAAATGCAAATTTTGGGCACTAAGGGGCAAAGGAGGGAATGCCGCAAAGGGCAGTCAACTTAGTTATCATCTGCAAGCCATACTTAACATTTCCAATAAATGACCCGGCTGCAGAAATGAAAAATTGTTGGTTTTTTCCTGACATTTTTCTTATGTTGCTTACATTTTAACTTCGCAGAGTCTCCTTATTTGCACAGCCCCAGCTTTGGAATTTGTTAATGGGATTGCTTTATTCATGCCTCTGCGGCTGCTTTTAATTAAACGGGGGGGGGGGGGATTGCATGGGAGTGCTCTCTGCAATGCACTCGTGGTGAATATGATCCACAGGACTGGAGTTCTGATAGAACTGGTTGTTCTGTATGGAAGGAACTAAGGGAATGTGACTCAACTCCTATTGGGCTGAATCACTGGGGAAGGAAATGGGTTTGCTTGTCTGTGGGCTTAGCCACACATAGCGCTTTCCAGGCAAAGGGCAAAGGTCTGCTAGCTTTAAAGCTCTGTGCCAGAGGGCTCTTTTTTTCTTTTTTCTTTGCAAACCAAGAGCTTTCCCTGCAAAAACCTGGTCTTTAAAGCTAAAGTTCAACCAATTGCACAGGTTTTCCATGGATTGCTGTTTGCTCCAATTTAGCAGTAAAGAGTGAGTTTTCATGGAGGAAGCCCTGGAGCAAAAAAGGGATGCTTGGATGTGAAGCTTTAAAGCATAGAACATGCCTAGAAAATGTAGACAAAAGATAAGTGTGGATAAGCCCTGAATGCTCCTCCATGTAAAATGTTCCCTGTATATAGAAAACATGGCATGTTAAGAAGAAGGATTCTAGGTTGGTGGTCGTGCTGATATATTACCTTATTGTGAGCAGCAGGGTGGTCCAACACGTGGCCCAAGGGTCACCTTTTTTTGGCAGCCCAGCAGCAATGCATGATAGGTAAAAGCCAGCTGCAGCTCCCGTCGGCCGTCTCTTCTTGCACTGCTAAAGAGAAGACACACTTTCCTAGTGGCTGCCGGCACGCAGGCAGGGAGAGGAGAAAGAGGTGGTACTTGCACATGTCTTATGGCGACTGCCACCTTTAGCTCTGACATGTCCCTCTGCTGACTGCTGGGAGGAGTTTGCTGGCGAGGTCAGACTCATGCCCATGCAGCATGGTGACCAAGGAGCGTGGCAGTGGCCTTGAGGGAATGCGGTTGCTGCTGCTGCTGCTGCTGCTGCTGCCCACACATAAAAAGAAGCCAGCCACTGAGGAGACCAAAGTCGAGCAGGTGGCAGATAATGGGATGGGGTGAGTGAGGAGGAAATGCAGGGTGTCATTGGGGGGGGACCTGGAAGGGCAGAGTGACTTTATGGGGAGAGGATTGCCTGAGGTAAATAGAGTCCCCTCACGGAATTTGAGGGAGGGTTAAACAGGGCTGTCCCTTTTTGAGGTGGGCTTGGGGGTGTCCTGTGATGCCAGAATTATTAGGCTCTTCCTGACTTTTTCTAGGAGGTGGTTGGCTGAGGAGAATCCCCTTTACAGTTGGACTCAAAGGGTATGTGTGTGTTTGGAAGTCAGGTGGGGTGGGAGACTCTTAGCTGAAGTGGTGACAGTGCTTAAGACCTGAGCTTGTTTTGTGTACTTACTCAGAAGCAAGCCCCAGAGACTTAAATGAGGTTCCTGCTTAAGTAGGGGTGCAAATGTTGTGCTGTGCTATGTATCCTGCCCCCCTCCTCATTCCACTTATAAATATATGGCTCTCTCTTGTTCTGAGTTTCTTCCTAGCTTCATACACTGCTAATGGTTTTGCTCCTATATTGTTGACTGATGTTGGAGCCCCAGCCCCTCTTCGCCCACAAATCTTGGGCAATCTTGGAATTAATTATCGAGAGAATATGTCTCAATTTGTTCTGCATTAATGCTGTGTTGGGAATGGAGTCAGGGCTGCAGTCTGAACAGATACCGTACTCAGCACATGGAATCGATGAACTGAGACTTGCTCCAAGTCCTGAACACCCCATCTGGAATTCCAATTTGATGTTACAATTTGTAGTTCTGACCCCAGATTCAACACTGGGAAAGAACAAGGGGAGGAAGGAAGGAAGAGTTGCCTTTTCTGCTTCTGTAGGATTTAATATTTATTTAGTAGTGTATATTAAATAATATTAACTAACTTGATTTATGATATGGAAACTTAATTCAGTGTTCAGCCCACTTGGTCTGAGAGGTTGGACCACCCTGGTGTGCAGGGAGGTTATATGTGTGTGCATGTATTTATAGATGTATGTACTAGGGACTAACAACCCTGCCTAATTGCCCTTCCCTCACACCCAAGCAGAATCCTCTCTCTACAGCTCACACTTATTTGCTTACCCTAAGCTGGATGGGGAGAACCTGGCTTGACAGCAATACATGTGAAAAGGATCTAGGGTTCTTAGTAGACCACAAAATTAACATGAGGTAACAATGTGATGCAGCAGCAAACACCGCCCCCCTCCCCAATGTTATTCTGCCTGCATCCACAGAAGTATAGTGTCCTGGCCAAGGGAAGTAATAGTACTGCTTTATTCTGCCTTGGCCAGATCACACCTGGAGTCTTGTGTCCAGTTCCGGGCACATTTTAAGGAGGATGTTGAGAAGCTGGAGTGTGTGCAAAAGATGATCCGGGAACCAAGCCTTATGAAGAACGGTTGCAGGAGTTGGGTATGTTTAGCCTAGAAAAGAGGAGACAGAGAGGAGATACGATAGCCATCTCCAAATAACTGAAGGATTGTCACATAGAAGATGGAGCAAGCTTGTTTGCTGCTGCTGTGGAGGGTAGGACTTGAACCAATAGCTTCAAGTTACAAGAAAGGAGATTCTGACTAAACATCAGGAATAACTTTCTGACAGTAAGAGCTGTTCCACAGTGAAGCAGTCCACAACCTTGGGAGATTGTGGACTCACCTTCATTGGAGGTTTGTAAGCAGAGGTTGGATGGCCATTTGTCATAGGGATCCCTTCCAACTCTACAATTTCATGATTCTATTGTTATGAGGGGGGTTTTCGGGGGGGGCAGAGTTGAGACCCTTCAAAACTCTGGACCCAGCCAGTGATAAGGGCAACTTCTTAGCCACATGTTCATACAGAATTTACAGGGGGACTGCTGTCTCCTTATCTGAGATCCAACAGTTGCTAGTTTCTCTGGGCGTTAGCAAGCTAACCAAAAGGGCCAGCAGGAGTATTTCTACCTCACCTACTGCCAAGCCAAATCAAAGAGGACAGGAGCTTGCAGCTGTCCCATGGAAAGGGGGCTTGAGCCTGTCCAGTGGGGTATCACAGCAGGGAACAAGCTGAAGTTGAGACCAGCTTCAGCAGCAGGAGCTGCTGCAACCTAATTGCTAGGCCCACCCATGCTTGCAAGACTGCTCTGCTTAAAGGAGCCCAGCCTTCTCCAGTAATCTCATACTGAGATGGAGAAGGGAGGCACTTAGGTCTTCTGTAGTGCAGACCTTTGTATTGGAGGATGGCAGTCCAATATCCTCGGGCCAGAAGGAGTGCACACTGGCCTCTCAGGTTCATCTGAGAGTGCTTCTGGGGCCGACCTTGCATGCCCTTCCCTTTCTGCTAAGGAGTCTTCACTCTACTCCAGGGCCATGACAGATTGGGTAAATGAACTCTTTCCATTAGTCTTGCCATGGTGGAGGATGAGCTCCCCATTTGAATGCTGTGACATCCTTCTCCACCAAGAAGGTTAAAGAGAGAGAGTGCACCTTGGTGACTGTTCTTTTCCAGAAGCTTGTGCTGCAGTCAGTCCTCCTGGTGTGGGAGGCTGCTTGATTTGAGCACAGAAGGCAAAAAACCCAGTAAAAATAGGCTTTGCCATCAACGCAAGAATGATCTACTGGTTCCAGAGCATGCCATATGCACCAAAGCGGGCGCCCACTCCTGTTGCCTACCTCCTCTCTCCACCCCCTTAATTCCTAAGAACTTACAGTGAGCCAAGGCGGCGGGGGGGGGGGGGAGGACATTCCCAGAAAAAAGAGGAGCGGGATTTTTGTTTCTGCCTCTCGTCATCCCTCTTAGTGCTCTAGCCTTTTGCAGGTCTTCGGCCTTTTTGGCTCTGCACAGAGGTTTAATGGGAAAGTTGAAAAGCCTCAGCCATGTATAGCTGATGGTCCTTTTGCCAGCAAGCCTCAGCGACTCGGGGAATATTTCTCATGCCTGAAGTGGGTATTAAACAGGCAAATGGAGTGGAAGGAGCAAGTGGAATGTCAAACCATGATCAATTAGTGC